AGCTGGGCGGGAAGCCAGGCAGCCGGAAGTGGGGGTGGCAGGGGACACTCACTGGAAGACGCAGTCCGGGATCTGGACGTGGTCCATGGGGATGAGCTGCGCCAGGTCCTCCAGGCTGTGCACGTACTGGACCTTACTGATGAACTTGACGCTGCGGGAGCGGGAGCGGGGGCGGAGGGCGCGCTGCAATGCCGAGCCAGGCCCAGAAAGGGTGGTGCGACCCACTGCAGCCTCCCCCACGACGCCCAGCCTCGAACCCCTGCTGCTCCGAGCTGGAGAGGGCTGGCCTGGCTGCAGAGCCTTTGCAGGGAGCAGACTGACCCTGTGGGGTGCAGGGCTTGGCCTCCAGGGGACAGGAAGAAGCGTCTGGTAGACTCCCCTCCGGGGGTAGCGGCTGGGGGGGTCCCCCCCCACCACGCTTTTCTGCTGTGCCACGCCAGGGGAGGCCGCCCTGGGCACCCGAGTACACGTGGGAGCCCAGTGCCAACCCACACTCCGCGGCTGCGGGTGGTTCCTCCCACCCGACCCGAGCTTGGGCTCGGGGTGAGAGTCGGTTCATTTTTCTACTTTATTTTACAATGTATCATGAAGATTACGATTGAGCTTCTGGCCACAGGGCACATGAGCTCAAGGGCAAGAGAGAGAGAGGGAGGGAGGGGAAGTGAGAAGTCACCCCCAGGGGGATGGCCACGCCATGATCCCTTCTCGGTTCTCCTCTGGGATCTTGGGCACGCACGCACACGCGCCTGGCGTGTTTTTCAAGCTGTTGATCTGGGACTCGAACCGTGCAGCCAGCCACACCACCTGCCGGTCCAGTTTAGAAGGTACTTCTATTCCCCTGTGGCCCACCTGCGTGCGGTGCAATGCGGGCTTCCAAAGCATGCCTGCTGTGTGCAGCAAACCCACCCCACCGCTGTCCACCCAGAGCCCTGCGCTCCTGCCCGCCCCCGCCCCGCGGCGGCCCTCACCTGATGAAGGGCCGGGAGATGGCCAGCACGGTCCGGATGAACCAGGAGGGGTGGACGATGATCAGGGACTTCAGGTTCTTCCTCAACCTGTGTGGGGACAGGGCACGCTGACGGCCCAGGAGCCCTGGGGAGGCCAGGCTGGGAGGGCACCGGGAGGAGCCAGAGAGCCACAGGGAACCACCTGCGCGGTCTGTGAGGATCGGCCAGCCTTTCCCAGACCTAGCAGCTGCGGGCCCCATGGCAGGGCCCCTAAGACCAGGCAGGAGGGTGAGGGAGGGAGCCCCAGGGTGCAGGGTGAGCAAGCCCAGGCTGTACTGCCACCTCCCTGGGCACACCTGGGTGCAGGGACGCACCTCTCGGCTCTGAGGCAAAACCACCTGGGCCAGCCGCTGGCACAGTGGTTAAAGCACCAGATCCCACTCGGCTGAGTCTATGGTTTGAGTCCTGGCCACAGCAGCTAGAAAATCACGCCGGGCGTGTGAGCATGCGTGCCCCACATCCCGAGGAGAGTGGAGAAGGGATTGCGGCGTCGCCATCCCTCCCTGGAGAGTGACTGCTCGTTTCCCTTCTCTCTGTCTGTCTCTGTCTCTCTCTGGTGAGCACATGCATCCTAAAGCAAATAAATAATCCCAGAGGCCAGCAGGTGGCATGGTGGTTAAAGTGTTGGACTCCCACGTGGCTGACCGTGGTTTGAGTCCTGGACCCGGCAGATGGAAAATCAAACCAGGTGCATGTGACGCGTGTCCACAATCCCAGGAGGAGAAGGGATTGTGGCGTGGCCATCCCCCCGAAGGGTGATTTTTCGCTTTCTGTCTCTTTGTCTCTCTCTCTTGAGCGCATGCACCCTATAAAAAAAATCCCTCTAAAAAAAAAAAACATTTTTTTTTAAACACAGGGGACACGTGGACACAGACACACACCCAGGGAGGGGCCGTGTGCAAATGAAGGCAGAGACCGGGCGGTGTGTCCAGGTGAGGAACCTGGGGATGCCTGGGGTGTGTCTTCCCCATGGCTTCCGAGGAGGGTGGTCCTAGACCCCCGTCCTGGCCTCGGGGCTCCAGCACTGCGCGAGGTAACCGCCGGTGAGGCCGCACTCGGTGCGTCAGGGCAGGCGGCAGACCACATCCCTCCCCGGGCACGGCGGCCCTGGCCCTCGCGCCCTCACCTCCTGTCGATCATCTGGTAGCACTTCTTCAGCCAGCCAATGCCCGGCATGCGCCGCCGTGGCGTGGCGCCGTTCAGGTACACGATCATGTAGTCCTCAGCCACCAGGAGCTCCAGGCTGCTGATGACGTACCTGGGCACGGGACGCCGTGGGGGCCGGGTCAGCACGCCCGCGCCGCCACGCTCCCTGCCCCACCCGGCACGGCCCGGGGTAAATGGCCGATCCCAGCCCACCCCACGTGCATGTCAGTGGGACGGCAGACGGCGTCATGGCTACGTCGCTGGTCTCCCACGTAGTCGACAGCAGTTTGAGTCCTGGATCTGACAGCTTAAAACTTACAGCAGGTGCACATGCGTGCGTGCCCAAAATCCTAAGAGGAGACTGGAGGAGAAGGGTCTGCAGCGTGGCCACGTCCCTGGGGGGCGGGGTGATTTTTCGCTTTCTGTCTCTCTGTCTGGTGAGTGCAAGCACCCTATAGCAAAAACAAACTAAAAACATAAATAAACATCAGCTACCTTATTATCTTTTTTTTTCTTTTTTTAGTTTTTGCTATAGGGCAAAAGTGTGCTCTCCAGAGAGAGACAGAGAGATGGAGAGAGACAGAGAGGGGGAAAGTGAGAAATCACACTCCAGGGGGGTGGGGGAGAATGGCCACACTGCAATCCCTTCTCCTCCATTTTCCTCTCAGGATTCTGGCCACACACGCCCAGTCCCAAGAGCTAGAGGGCTGTCCGCTGCACCCCGATCCTGTGTCCCCCACTCTCCTGCTGGAGTCAGGGCTCACGCCCAGCTCCCAGGATCACGCCTGTAAAGCTCTGCACCTGGCAAATGTCCAGTAAAGTGGAGACTGAGGGGCAGCAGGTGGGGTGGAGGTTAAGGCGCTGGACACCATGTGACTGACCACGCAGTTCAAGTCCTGGACCCGGCAGCTTGAAAATCACGCTGGGCGCATGTGCGTGCCCAAGATCCTGAGAGGAGAGTGGAAGAGAAGGGATTGCAGCATGGCCATGGCCCCTGGGGGGTGACTTCTCACTTTCCCTTTCTCACGCTCTCTCTCTCTGGCAAATTTTAAAAATAAAGTAAAGTATTTAGGGAGTGGACGGGCGCATGGAGCGATGGACAGCTGCAGAGGTTAACTGAGCGGCCGGACAGACCGTGGGTCCTCACTGCCTGCTCTGCTGACAGGGGCCCAGTGGCTCCCGAGGGGCCATCCTGGGCGCCGCGCGGTGCTGACCTGCAGCCCTGGCTCCGCCCACCCACGCCGGGCAGCCTTTGAATCGTCTGAGCTGCCGCGGAGGCCCCACGTTGAGGGCGGTCTTCATGGCACGGCAGTGACGGTGGCAACAGCGGCTAGCCAAGCTCCTGCAGCTGCCGTGTATGCGACCTGTCTGCCGTGGCGAGGCGACCTGTGTGCCCACGGGCCAGGGCCGTAGCCGCTGTGCCTCAGACGCCTCACCTTACCACGGGGGCAGTGGACCCCCCGGGAGCAGCGGTCATGATGGAGCGTGTTCACGGGGGAAAGGCACCTAGCCTGCTAGCTGCAGCACGGGGCACGCTCAGGTGAGAGAGAGGATGGCGGCCATGGTGGCGTGGTGGTGCTGCTGGTGGTCAGGTGGTGGGATTGATGGTGCTGGTGGTGCTGATGGTGGTGGTTATGGTGGCGATGATGATGGTGATGGTGACCATGATGATGGTGGGGTGATGGTGGTTATGATGGTGGTATTGATGGTGGTAATGGTGGTGGTGGTTATGATGGCGATGATGAGTGGTGATGGTGACCATGATGATGGTGGGGTGATGGTGGTTATGGTGGTGGTAATGGTGGTGCTGGTGATGGTGGCGATGATGATGGTGATGGTGGTGGTGGTGATGATAATGAGGTGGTGGTGATGGTGACCATGATGATGGTGGGGTGATGGTGGTTATGGTGGTGGTAATGGTGGTGCTGGTGATGGTGGCGATGATGATGGTGATGGTGGTGGTGGTGATGATAATGAGGTGGTGGTGATGGTGACCATGATGATGGTGGGGTGATGGTGGTTATGGTGGTGGTAATGGTGGTGCTGGTGATGGTGGCGATGATGATGGTGATGGTGGTGGTGGTGATGATAATGAGGTGGTGGTGATGGTGACCATGATGATGGTGGGGTGATGGTGGTTATGGTGGTGGTAATGGTGGTGCTGGTGATGGTGGCGATGATGATGGTGATGGTGGTGGTGGTGATGATAATGAGGTGGTGGTGATGGTGACCGTGATGATGGTGGGGTGATGGTGGTGCTTATCATAGTGGTGGTGGCAACGGTGCTGGTAATGATGGTGGCAGTGGTGGCCGTGGTGGTGGTGAGGCCAGGGAGGCCGGAAAGGAGTGCCCAGGGGCATGGCGGTCTGTGGGCGCAGGCGGGCACTCACAGAAAGAGGTTCTCCATGATGTAGTGGTAGTCCGGGGAGCTGCTGTCTGGGAGGAAGCAGGCGGCGAAGACGATGATGGCGTTGAGCCCTTCGCCGTAGTACCCTGGGGATAGGCGGCTGTCAGCGGGCCCCACGCCCCAGGCAGAAATGGCCAGTCACCCCCTCACTACCCCCCCACCTCATTGCCGGCCTGTCCCCACACACTCTGGAGGCTCAGCTCTGAGTCCCAGCAGCCCCATGCCCCAGGATGACAGCCCTCAGCACAGGCCCCGGGGCACAGTCAGGCCTGGCCCACAGCCCACTCGGCCAAGCAAGATGAGGGCTTCATGTCCCGTGGTTCAGAGGAAGGGAGCGCGGTCCCCGGAGGGGCATTGACGGGCCTCATCACACATGTCCAGCTGAAGCCGGCCGTGTGGCGTGGCCTTACCCCCGTGGGTGACCACCCTCATGTAGGGCTAGGTCGTGTGCAGGGTGGTGCAGGGCAGTGTGGGCGTGGCCTTACCCTCGTGGGTGACCACCCTCATGTAGGGCTAGGTCGTGTGCAGGGTGGGGTGGGCGGGGCCTTACCCTGGTACGTGACCACCCTCATGTAGGGCTAGGTCTTGTGCAGGGCGGTGCACGGTGGGGTGGGCGGGGCCTTACCCTGGTGTGTGACCACCCTCATGCAGGACCAGATCATGTGCAGGACGGTGCACAGTGGTGTGGATGGGGGGGCCTCACATGGGTGTGGCCTTACCCCGTGGGCGTGGCCTGACCCCGTGGGCGTGGCCTTACCCGTGCATGACCACCTGCCTGTAGGACCCCACCTTACCCCCGTGCGTGACCACCCGCATGTAGGGCTGGATCACGTGCAGGGCGGTGTGGGCGGGGCCTCACCCACGGGTGTGGCCTTATCCCATGGCGTGGCCTTTATCCCGTGGGCGTGGCCTAACGGTTAAATGACTACCTGCCTGTAGGACCGGGCCTTACCCCCGTGCGTGACCACCCGCATGTAGGGCCGGATCATGTGCAGGTCGATGCGGTGTTCCTGCTCCCCGATGATCACCGTCCGCCACAGGCGCCCGTTGGCCGCGCCGCCCTCCTCTGCCGTCCCGTCCCCGAACAGATCCGCGCTGTCCCCAGGCATGTTCTTGGCGGTGGCCACGGGAGTGTCATCTGGAAGCAGGGCGGGGTGAGTGGGAGGGACTCCTGCTGCAGAAGGGCATCTAGCCTGTCCCGCCCGGGACCCCCAGCCCTGCGGTGGGCGGCGGAGGGGGAGCTGCCAGCATTTGCTGACCAGAGCCGCAGTGGCTTGGGCATGGTGGAAGCCTCGGGCGTCAGGAAAAGTGCTAAGCTCACCGGGAAAGCGTGTGTGAGGTAGCCCGGGCGGTGTGCGAGGTTGCCCAGCTGGTGCCGCCCGAACCCCCCCGGGTTAGGGCCTCTGCCCTTCCTGACAGTCTCTGAAGCTCTGAGGATCGGGAGATGGCAGGGCAAGCTGCCCAGGGAGCCAGAAGGAGAGTTCCAGCCAGATTTGAGGCTGATGGACTCTTCCGGACATGCCTGACTTACAGGGCGTGGCGCAGGCAGGTGGTGTGGTGGTTGAGGTGCTGGACTCCCACATGGGCGACCATGGTTCGAGTCCAAGACCTGGTGGCTCACTTTCCTACTTCTCCCTCTCTCTCTCTCTCTCTGTCTCTCTCTCTGGTGAGTACACGTGCCCTGCAGCAAATTGAAAAATGATAATGATAAATTAAGTAAATTTTTTTTAAAATTTGCTATAAGGGGTGTGCACTAGCCAGAGAGAGGGAAACAGGAATCCTCTATAGGGGACAGCCGCGCCCCAAAGTCGTCTCCATTCTCTCGGGATTTGGGGAACACATTTTCCAAGCTGCCGGGTCTGGGACTCGAACCGTGCAGTGGGCCATGTGGGATTCGAGTGCCTTAACCTCCACCCTGGCCCTCTACCTTCCCACTCCAGCTCATTGCCATTCCCCAGGAACTCCAGCGAGTCGGTCTCGTCGGGGGTCTCGATGTCGTCCACGTTGATGTCCAGGTCATCTGGGGTGTCCAGGAAGTCGTCGGACAGCAAGGAGCCCTCGCTCTGATCCAGGGAGATGTTGATCTCGGGGGCCACGAGCGTCTTCCTCTTCCGGTGAGCCCCGAAGTTCAGCGCGCCGGGGGGAGCTGCGGGCAATCAGGGCGGGGGTGGTGAGAAAGCTCCCCCTAGAGGGGACGGCCGTGCAAACCCTTCTCCTCCGTCCTCCCCTTGGGCCCGTGGGCACGCATGCCTAGTGTTGGTTTTGTTTGGTTTTGAGAGAGATTTTCACCACAGGGCACATGACCTCATCAAAGAGACAGAGACAGAGAGACAGAAAGTGAGAAATCCCCCCCCAGGGAGAACGGTCGTGCTGCAGCCCGTTGTCCTCCGTTCTTCTCTTGAGATTGTAGGCACGCACACGTGCCCAGCGTGGGTTTTAAGTCACCAGGTCCAGGACTACGTGGGAGTCCAGTGACATAACCAGTACGCTATCTGCTGGTCCCACCCAGTGTGTTTTCAAGCTGCTGGGACCAGGATTCGAACCACACAGTCAGCCATGTGGGATCCAGCCACCGAACCATGGCGTCACCAGCCGGCCCTGTCATTTCCCTCTTTAACAGACGAGCGTTGATGTGCAGAGAGGAAGCCCTTCCAGGTGTTCCCCTTGATCCAAACCATTTTCCCTTAAGACTCTGGAGACCGGTGGGGAGCGGGGCTGTCTTCAAGGCCCTTTCTCCCCTGGCCCCGGGGGCTAAGGCACTCTGAGGGTGGGCTGGGCAGGGCGAGTCCTGGGCGTGACCCGGGAAAAAAGCCGCCTCTCCCTAAAGCAAGCTCTGGAATGAGACGGGCACCCAGGCCCATAGTGCAGGGATCAGGCCGGCAGGTGGTACGGTGGTTAAGGCTCTGGACTCCCACGTGGCCGACTGCAGTTCGAGTCTCAGACCTGGAGACTTGCTTTCTCACTTTCTCTCTCTGTCTCTCTCTCTGGAAATATTAAAATCATAATGATAAACGAAGTTAAATGAAAAGGGGGCCGGCAGGTGGCATGGTGGTTTAAAGGCACTGAACTCCCACATGGCCGACCACGGTTCGAGTCCTGGACCTGGCGGATTGCTTTCTCACTTTCCCTCTCCCTCTCTTTTTCTCACTCTCGCTCTGTCCCTCTCTGGCTAAATTAAAATGAATAAATAAAGTTAAAAAATAATTCTTTTTTAAAAAAAGTTAAATTAAATGGTTCTTTTTTTCTTTTTTGTTGGAGAGGTTTTTGTTATAGGGCACATGCGCTCACCAGAAAGACAGAGAGAGACAGAGAGACAGAAAGCGAGAAATCACCCCCAGGGGAGATGGCCACGCCACAATCCCTTCTCTTCCATTCTCTTCTCGGGATCTTGGGCATGCATGCACATGCGCCTG